TAGGGTGCTTTGTATTGGTCGGCGTGTTGAGCTCTCGCTGGATCGCAGCTGGATCGTTGAACCCATGTGCTAGGCGTATGAGGTCACCTGGCAGTCTAGAGTGTACTGGCTTGGGTTGCTGGCTTGGGACCCGATACTAATGACTAAGTCTTGTGGCGTCGGTACTGATGCATCTGTAGGGCGCTATGTATTGATCGGCGTATTGAGCTCTCGCTGGATCCACCGGTCAGCACTGAACCAATCCATAAGGTATGCTGGTTTATGGAGTGCTTGGTCGGATATTACGTCGTCTTTTGTGTCAGTCGTGAATGTTTCCGAAGACGATTGTAAGCAAGGCAGATCACCATTTCCACGTGAGGGCCTCCTCCTGTAATTGTTGCGCTCTACTGACTGCCGCGAGCGACGGTTCGGTTGGCTCATCGATGACCGTAGATTGTGCGTCGCTTTGTTGCAAACAATTAGTGGCAAATCATGGTGTCGATCGGTAGCTCAATACGTGGAGTCCTGGTGGAGGACCCCGCAAGACAAGGCGTCGACAGAATTCCTGGGACACTAAATTATGTGGGTCGGTATTGCCACTCACCAATTTAGCCATACATCAACGTGTTAACTTTCATGGTGGAAGTCCAACGATACAATTGCAGCTATGTAGAAACGTGTCGGGGCGATGAGTTATGACTATGAGAGTGTCTGTAATCATTAAGTAAAGGGCACGCCATGCTGCGTTGTGCACGAACAGCATTACCATGATCACCGCTGTATAGGGGATATCCGCGAACGATAACAAGATCCCGTGTATGAGAGACCACGGGCTATTGGCATATGATAAAGGGAATTGGAGATCAACCGCAAATGCGTCCTCGGGACCCCAAGTACATGTGCCGTTTGTAGTAGTGTAAATTTTGAAGATGGTCGTGTGAGCTGGCAAAATGTTACACGTCAATCATGCCGTAGATTTGCTGTATCGGGTCTATCCGACTTGGGATATGCGGCCTACATCCACTTGTTACCCGTAAATGATATCCGGTACTAGTTTATATGACTGTGACTATCTGTTGTGACGCAGCGAGTTGCGTCAGTGTTGACCTCCAAGACACTCTATACGGCGCAATGGGTTCATGGACAAAGTTGAGATGACTCTGCT